TCCAGTTTCATGCAGTTGGCCTTGCTGGTGGAAGGCATCCCTGAGAAACAGTTAATTCACCCAGAAATTATTTACCCAACTTTATTTCTTAACAAATATGGTGGGGGGGGTTCTTATATTTTCAAAAATGAACATTACTCCTCTAACGCTATGGGTGTGTAATTTACAAACAAAACGTCAAAGTATCATCAAGTCATGTTTACCACAGGATTTATTTTACGAGATCTTTATTTTAAATCGAAAATATATTCATATCAGACTGCAACTTCAGCTAATGGAAAAGCCACCATGAAAGTACACTTTTTAAGTACACTAAAGTGGCGTTATTTCATGAATATCTGCAAGTACAGTATAAAAATAAATGTTTGGAGTATTCCGAACTCCATTAAGCACACTTCTTTTTTACAAGAGCATAAGTGTTGAAACTGTCTCGAATGGTCGTAATGAGTTCAGGGCGAAGGAATAGGCCTTTCACTAATAAAGTCTGTAATTATAAATCAAAAATAATCATTCAAGCACAACCACGTTAACATTGACATTGGACATTTGACGTTAAACAAACTGAATGAACTAACACAGTCTCATCCCATGACGTCATATAACTGACGTCTTGGGACATCTTTTGACCGTACGTCAACATCCGCCTTTTTAGGGTACCCTTAAACGTCGGTTAGATGACGTTATCGGATCCTAACCCTTCCCCAGACCTAAACCTATCCCGTCACCTAACTGACGCTAAAGATAAAGCGTCAACTAATCGATGTTTAAGGGTACCCTAAAAAGGCGGATGTTGACGTATGGTCAAAAGACGTCCCAAGACGTCAGTTACATGAACAGATGTAAATCAGTTGAAAACCATGGAGAACAGAACACACTAAAAACTAAACCAAAACTGAGCAAATACAGTATGTTTCAGGAACAACATGAGGGTGAGTAAATATAGACACAAGTTCATTTCGAGTGAACTACATTATTAGATTTTAGTGACTTTGTACTTAATTTGATAATCTTCAGTACAATAAGTGGTGGAGACAAAAAATGTTTAAGTTACTAGGTTCTAACAACATATCCAACTCAAGGACTTGTTGCTATTGTCATAATTTGGAATAACTTCACGCAAAATACTTTTGTTTCTCATATTAGTGTCACAACTGGACAATTAGCTGTAGTAAAAATGTGGATCTGATCTCCATACGTACCGAATGTTTCGTCGCCGCGCGCCCTGTAGAGTGATGTTAACAGGAACACTGAAAGACCCTCGGGGGGAATGATTCAGCAGCATTTTTTATCTTATCAAGTATCCCTTAACTAGGTAACAGCACTAAATTAACACAACACCAACCCCACTTTGACAAGGTCAATGTATACATCTGGACACAGAACCACCGTGCTGCCTAGCCGTCAGACATGTAGGGCACATAGAGTGCACTTAAGGGATTGTTTTCTTCTCATCCAGATGAGATCAGTGGAATATATTTCCTCTGCCTGAGCAGGGATGCCACAGAGGGTTTCTATGGGAACCCCTACAGCCAGACCATAATTGTGTCCTATGGGATTGTAAGCAGTCATGACAGTTTGTTTTTTTCTGTTTTTATATATGACTTGGACAGAAGTATGAAGTAAATGATGAACAAACCTAAAAAAAAAACTGCATAGAATATATATATATATATATATATATATATATATATATATATATATATATGAAGAGTTCAGATGCAAAAGCCTCTAAGTGCCATTTGAAATTTTCTTCTAGAATGATCATTTTTATCAAGCTTGATTACTGAACTTAAATATACAAGCTTGATAAAAATGATCATTCTAGAAGAAAATTTTAGCACTTAGAGGCTTTTGCATCTGAACTCTTCATATATATATATATATATATATATATATACAGTATATATATATATATAAAAAACATTATGCAAAGTGTCCAGATCCAAAACCCGTCAGCGAAAATCCACGTAATTATGTTTACTTCGATTCTAAAATGGTGTAAGTTTAAAACGACGTCTTACCTCACGAGATGCGTTCTTCTGTTCATTATAGCCTTGCTATTAAACCAGACTCTGATAAACTGATTCTCGACACCAACTGACAAAACTCAAAACTTATAGCTTCATGAGCACAACAGTGTGTCAATAATTAATGCATTTTAAAATTGTAATCCAAAATAACATACATTTTTAATGAATGACTTATTGTATGTATAAATGCATTCAATTTTATCAAAACAACATTGCGCATCTGCCCATTATCTGCTGAGGATGTACTGTTGCTTAAAAATATATATTTTTGAGATGATGACCAGAGAAGATTATCCTTTTTTTTTTTTTTTTTGTATTTACTGCTGCTTTGTAGCTGAATTTAACTCATAATTGATCAACTTTATTGAACCGAACTGAATCAACACTGCACTTGTCAGAGAGAGACATGGATTCAGTTGCAGTTAGCAGAAAAGGACCGTTTACACGACATCGTTTTCAAATAAAAACATAAAAAATTCGAAATGCAAGTTTTTGAAAATGACACCTTTATCTTCTCCGTGTAAACATTAGAAACGCAAAATTGTGAAAACGTTGACATCATGCGCTATTAAGTGTTCTGTCTTTAGGCGCAGGGTGTTTCTTTACAAAGTGACATCGCCACCTACTGGTCTGGAAGGAATAATACAGCTTTTTAGTCATTTTCACAAAACGCGAAGGAAAAACGTTTCCGTATTTCTGTAACTTACCTTTTAAATCTGATTTACAGTGCAAAACGTTTTTTTATGTTCTGAATTATATATATATATATATATATATACAAAAAATATTTATAAATTAAGTTCACTGTATATAGTCTAAATTATGAAAGAAATGTATGTACATTATTAGTATAACTAATTTCTACATTAAAACAACAATACACCATCAAATTCTCAACTCTCCTATGATTAAAAGCGACACTTCTGGTTTTCTTCCCACCGGAGTGATTTCAAAATGGCGGCTGCGTGAAATCAGTGTATTGAATTCTGTTCATCATTAATCATTATTTTCCTGTTTATCACTATCTGTATCAAATTGTATCTATTTGTACTGTATAAAGCACTAAATAAAAAGGTGAATTGACTAGTTTTTAGATACAAATAATTCAAAGGTAACATTTTATAATGTTTCTAAGAGGTCATTAGCATTACATAATGCTTAACTGACTCATTACTTTGCATTATTTATTGGGTATTGCAGAAATAGTTCGGGGTCGGAAATAATTACTGTTATTTTTCTGTTTATTACAGAAAGAGTTTGGGGTCAGTAAGAATGTTTCATTTGTTTCTATTCTTCAAAGAATACTGAACAAATAAAGTATTACAGTTTATGCAGCACAACATTTTGAACATTGATAATAAACATGAATATTTCATGAGCATCAAATCATCACATTAGAATGATTTCCAAAGGATCATGTGACACTGAAGACTGGAGGATGCTGAAAAATCAGCTTTGCCATCACAGGAATAAATAACATTTTAACACATTAAAACATGGAAACAGTTTTTTTTTTGTTTTGTTTTTTGCAGGCCAACCTAAAATATACTTTTATGTAATTTTAATTGAAACGTTTGTGTTTTAAATATATTTGTACTACACAGTTGTAGTTGTAGAATTTACAATTTAGTACTAATATATATTAAATATGTAATATCGAAAAACACACTACAGTTAAAGGGACACGCCAAAAATGGCTAATTATTTAATATTCATCACAAAATTAGAAAATTAAAAAACATGTAATTACGACACCTTAAAATAAAGTGTTACCATTGTCTTGTTGAAAAAATAACATCTGATCATTCCTCTTTCGATAAAAAAAAAAAAAACATTTTGTGGGAAGCAAGCCATGCATTATTCTCCTGTACTCCGAACCATTAAATGAGTTTTCCCAGTGAAGCAGCTCATCAATGCTCATCTGAAAAGACTCCACACACACTAACACTCTTCCTTCATGCTTCACTGTGGCAGAGATGCGTTTATTATTATATTTCTCAGCACATTTTAGAAGACACCGCTCTGGAGCATCACTGTGTTTCATTGGGATTCATCACTCCACACAAACTTCCCGTATTCTGCCAAATTACAAATGCAAATTCTGAGACAGCAATTGTTTTTTAGTGCATTTGCTTAAATTTAGCTAACTTCCTGACCAATAGTTTGCAGTTAATATAGCACTATCATGGATATGTAGTCTGTATAGTTTACTGAAAATAAAAAAAAAATAAGTATTCAGATTTTTTATGTCATTAAACTACTATAATGTTGAATATAATGTATAATAATGCAATTGGGGAAAACTGTATTTGTGGGTCCTGAAACTGCCAAATGTCTGATGTTACCAGTAAAAAGTGCTATTCTAGTCAGTGACAGCGTGCAAGCATATTCGTCTAAAATAATTCTGTATTTTCAGCTTCAGAATCACCAATATTTGTATTCTGGTGTGTCACTATAATTGTCCTTTGCATTGGGTTTCCAGCACCAGTACAAATCCAAATAAGCCTATTCATTTACACACATACCAAATGTAGCATCTATCAACAGTACATTTCTTGTTAACCTTTTACGATATGTCTTGCAGTATCACAATAATATCGTATTGTGAGTTCAGTATCGTGATATGTATCGAATTGTGACTGTGTAGATAGTCAGGAATGAACTGAATTTCTGTTATACAGAACTGAAGATACAGTTTTAAGGGAGTAGAATTACAGTCCACTTCACCTGAACACTATAAATAATGGATCCAAGCTCACAGGTAATACTAGATCTCTGATGCTTCAGTGTACAGAGACCGTTGGAAGAGCCTGAGCCCTGTTTATGCTGCATCAATGAAGAAATTATAGGGCATTTATAGTCGCCTCGTGACAGGGACCCGAATGATCATATTCAAGGAAGGGATCCAATGAACATCAAACAGCATGTTTGCGTAAAATCATCCAAAAATATTCCCTAGCTTTTCCCAAACGAGCTGGCACCACGTCTTATACTTTGTCTTTTGCTGATTGATACATTTGCTGTGATCGAGAAAAAAAAAAAAGAAAAAAGAGAGAAATAGCCGTACAGTAAGACGAGCGGTTACATACCAGAGTAAGTAATGGAGAACACCATCCCTCTCATTACAATAATTGGACCATGAGGAAGAGGAATGATCAAGTGCTGTGAAAATAGCCCAGAGAAACACTACAATGGATTACAGACAAAAAAGAAAACTGTCTTTTCTCACTATTGGATTGATATTTCTTTTGAGCGGTGTAGAATATGGTAAGTGGCCGAGGATTATTTTCCTTTCCTTTTTATTTCCTTTCTGCAGCAAGTAACTTGTTTGAATCAATAGTGCAAGAAAGCATTACAATATTAATGTGTAAATAGTGAATGTATTGATAGTTGTTTATGCAGTTGCAAAATATAGTCTTCTCTCTCTCACTCTCTCCCCCTCTCTCTCTCTTTCAGCGGTCATTCTTCCCACTATATGGCGATATCTGCAGATATTAGAGGCACCACCTTATTTTCTTGGCTTGGGTCTATCTGCGTTCAGCTTCAGTGGGCTTGTTTCAGGTCCAGTGTTTGGTCAATGGTCAGACAAGACCAGAACTACAAAGACCATCATTCTCTTCTCCAATGTGTTTGAAATTGTGGGTCAGTATACCTAAGACTTGAGATGGTTATAAAATATATCAAATAACCCTTGTTCTTGTGCAGTTATGATCTCCTGATGGTGTTGTTTGCTCATTGCAACACATTTGTCTGACAGGAAACTTCATGTATTTCATGGGATATTCAAAATGGCTCCTGCTGTCCAGCCGGCTTGTTGCAGGTGAGGATATTTTGATGCTGCACTGTTCTATCAGTCACAATAAACTTTGTTTGAGAGATTCTGTGCTCCTGTGGTGTAAACCATCAACATTAATGAGATTTTAAGACATCCAACAGATACTAACAGAGAGACTGTTGTTTTTGATTGATGACTCTCATTAGATTGTAATTTCTGCAAAGCTGAATTGAATCATCCTGACCAGACCCAATGACTTGTTTATAACAAGTTTATTACTTGTTTATAAAATATATATATATATACTCACACTCACCTAAACGATTATAATGAACACCATACTAATACTGTGTCTGACCCCCTTTTGCCTTCAGATCTGCCTTAATACGTGACATTGATTCAACAATGTGCTGAAAGCATTCTTTAGAAATGTTGTTTTATCAAACTCCTCATCTCCGTTTTCTCATCACATATCAGATCGGAAAGGCATTTATTTTCAAAAAATAAGAAAAGTGAAAATATTTGAAAAGTGGAAATAAAGTGGCTAAAGAGTGCTAAATAATAAATCATTATCTTTCCAATATGGCGGCATCCATTTATTAATTGTAATAGTAATTTACACTCTATGTTATTATTGCATTCTACAACAATACTGAGGTGCAAGTAGTATACATCACTATTTATAAGTATGAAAAGCATCTCCAACTATTTGCAGTTATTGTAAAGAACTGATACTTTTAAATAGACTAATGTAAATCGAATATATCGCTAATGTTTTTTTTTACCGTAATGGAATTCTGGATCAGGTATTGGAGCAGGAGCTGGTTCCTCTATTTTTGGGTTCCTTACACGCACTACCCTCCCCGATGAGCGAGCGAGAGTCTTTGCTGCTGTCATGGCATGTCGTCAGGCTGGACTTCTGATTGGTGAGTCAGTGTTCCACCAATCAATAAGTGGCAATAATACATATACAATATGCATTTTTACTTGCAGGTCCTGCATTCAATATCTTTCTAAGGTTGTGTGATTTCAAATTGGGTCCATTCATTGTAAATAAGTACACCTCACCTGGGGTAAGTATTTCCAATAAAATGTACATTCTAAATAGACAAATGCACACACGTGCACACACACACACACACACATAATGATGATGGATGCGGCTTGTAATGTGAATGTAGTAAGTCTGCACATTTCAAATGTCTTCCTAATGAAACACACATGATTCCACTCAGATGATCCAAGGCCTGAAATGGTTGCATCAGATCAAGAGAGAGAGAGAAAGAGAGACATACAAAGTGTGCTAGGGGGGATCAATAGGAACCGGGCTGGGAAATACACATCCTGTCAGAGGATCTCATAAAATAAGAGCATGTCCAGCGGATATTTCACATCACTTGGAGTAAAGAAAACGAAGCACTTTTTAAGCATGATCATTTTTTTTTCCTTTGCGACATTATTTTCATGACAAGTTTCCTCCTACATTTGTATTACTGCTATGCTAAAAATGTCATTCCCAAACACGCAGCAACATCTCACGATAAGATTTCATTAGTTAACGATTTATGTCATAATAACGCCGCCTTCACACTGGCAGTTGAAATCAGCTCCGATGCGGCTGCGAAACGACCGGAAGTCATTCATTTCCTATGGAGATTCGCAGACCGCATGCGAATGGGTCCGAAACGGGTCCGACCGAGTGCGGTGCGAAAAAAATCGTGTCCGTTGGTCATCCGGATGCGTTAAAAAATTTGAACTCTTGCGAAAAGCTACGGACGGTTCCTATCCGACAATTCCAGCGGAAGTTGACCGTTGCTATAGTACTGATAAACAAACCTTAATTATTAACTTTTAATAAAATAAATATTGATTTTATACAACGATAAGTTGTGATGTCATTTTTTATTTTCATGACTTTCTAACGTTTATAAGGGCAGTTAATACAATTAAATTGAAGGTAGACATTGAACTATTGACCACTATATCACATTTTTTAGCCGACCTGACATGTCAACGTCCTGAGCAACTTTCCTAACGCAGCATAACCCTAATCAGAGAGATCATACAGAACTGACAGAATCAAACTTTAATCTCTCCGCCATTTTTGTTCTACCCGCGTCCGACGCTTTTCACTGTGTAGTACGACGTCTGTTGGGAACGTATTGCGTATTACGGAGCTGATTTCAACTGCCAGTGTGAAGGCGGCGTAATTGTTAGTGCATAACTAATGCTAACAAATGCAACCTTATCATAAAGTGTGTAACACTATTAGTTAAGTTAACTAATAATAATAATAATAATAAAAACAATCTAGACAATGTTAATTTAAACATGTTTTGATATTTTAATACTGTACAAAAGTTGTATCTTTTAGTATTATTTAATGGACCTCAGCTAACATGAACTTAAAATGAAAATTATTTTTATTAACTAACTTTAACAAGGTTAATAAATATTTGTATTGTGAGTTAATGCATCAATTAATGTAAACTAACACAGTGCTATTACGACCAATACGAACATATCTATACTCGTAAAAAACGATTTAGCAAAAATCGTACAAATTCGTATGTGAGGTCAATAAAAAATAAATAAAAATAAAATAAAACATACAGGAATCTAACGAGAAACAAAAATAAAATCTCAATAGTGTTCTTTGTGAGATTCACCAGTAAGTTGGTCATCTTATTTCAATATTTCTATTTGCCGTTGTTAAAGTGGTTAGTTCACCCAAAAATGAAAATTCTGTCAGTATTTACTGTTGTTGTATGTTGTATGTTGTTCCAACCCCGTAAGACCTTCGTTCATCTTCGGAACACAAATTAAGATATTTAAGATATTAAGATCGCTCCTGCATACTAGTCCATAGGCTTCTTTAGGGAATGACACTTGCTGGCATCGAAACACCAAAGATATCGACATCGGTGGCATCAAAGACATCGTTAAAATAGTCCAAGTGACTACAGTGGCTCAATTTTAACTTTATCAAACGACAAGAATACTTTTTGTACGCAAAAACAAACAAAAATAACGACTTTATTTTAACTATTCACTTCCTTCTCTATGGGCCTGTAGTCAGTTAACGTAGTGTGATTGCGTAAAGCTACGTCACACGTAGGCTCACTATTGGCCGACGCTGGTCATGTGTGTGATGCGTGTGACGTACAATAACAGAAGCTTACGCCATTAAAGTAGCAACCTGACTCGAGGCAGAGGGAGAAATTAACAAATAGTTGAAATAAAGTCGTTATTTTTGTTGTTTTTTTTGCGCACAAAAGTGTTCTCGTCGTTTGATAAACTTAAGATTGAGCCCCTGTAGTCACTTGGACTATTTTAACGATGTCTTTAATGACTTTTCGAGGACAGCAAGTCATTCCCTCAAGAAGCCTATGGACTAGTATGCAGGAGCGATCTTAATATCTTAAATATCTTAATTTGTGTTCCGAAGATGAACGAAGGTCTTACAGGGTTGGAACAACATGAGGGTGAGTAAATACTGACAGAATTTTCATTTTTGGGTGAACTAACCCTTTAAGTTCTTTTAAGTAAGTTGACTTTAATTCCAGCTGCCATGTGCTCTTTTGACCCAGCTCTTCATGTGCGGGATGTGGCTGCTCATGCAGTTTGCAGTGATGTTCCTTTACTGGGACATCCCACCACTGGACTCCTTCCCTGAGCAGCACATGCCCCTCAGAGAGGTCAGAGGTGAAGAAGATGAGCCCCTCATGAGTCTGGAAGATGAAGACTGGGCTTCAGCAGTGGACTCGAATGGCCCGGTCAATCCAGAACAGACCGAGACCCGGCTCTCGTCCGAAATCCCGCCATCTCCACCCGATTCGCCACCTCCAGATCCCTCTGACCCCTTTCAAAACTTCAGTGCCAGTCGAGGTGAAGCCCAGAGTTTAATGTTAAATTAAAGTGCTTTTTTAGCAGTGCAGTTTAAGTTGGTTTGGCATTGATTCGTTCTTTGTTGCATCTGAGGTGCTAATCTGAGTGTAACGGTCTGAAACGCCTTATTGATCACTTCATTCTGTCTTTGCGCTATGATTTTATGTGTGTGTGTGGTAGATTGCTCCATTTTATTTAATCCTGTCTTGGCAGCCTGAGATCTATAACTCTCTCTCTCTCTCTGTGTGTGTAGAGTTTCTGAGGGAGGAGGTGGTGGTTCTCCTCACTGCTCAGTTCATCACTCTCTTCAATCAGACAGCACTCGAGGTAAAAGTAATAATTTTCGGGGTTGGCAACAGCGGCGGTCCTGGTCCACTTGTACACTAAAATAGACTACATGACTTTACACGAATGATTTTAAAACACTATAGGCTTCATGCTTGCCGACTTTGTAAATGGAAAGAAACGTCACACATTACCAGACTTTCAAGTCGGTCCGAACATGACAAACTGATGAAACATGCACTTCGTTATGGAGACAGTGGACAAATAGAATCAATATGTGTATAAAATATCAAACGTTTAATATTCTCAAAATAGTGGACAGATTCATAGTCGGAAGATAAAAAAAGCAGAGTCTGCACCCATTTTACACTATAATTTTCTGAAAATCTGCCAGCTCAAATCTGCAAACTGGCTCTATCTTTCAAAAACTAGCCTCAACACGTTCAGACTGTAAAATAAATCAAGGCAAAAGTATATTCCAGCTTTCAGTAATTATGTTGGCATATCAAAGCCCACCTACTGATCAGGTAGTTAAGCAGCTTATTTTTCTTTTAAGCCCAACATTTTCCAAATCTTACAATTTATGACCACCAAACGGAAGCATTAGCAAGGCCTATACCTAGGGCGTGTTAGCAATGTACGCTAAAACATACTAAACAACATTTTAAAGGGGTCATGAACTGGCTTTTTAAATTTTATTATATTGTTGTCTGAGGTCAACTTATGACGTTCGCTTGGTTTTTGCATTCAAAAACACCAAAATTAATAAGTAATAAGTAATAGGCTTTGTTGTACCCTTGTTTTGAGCCTAACTGAAAAACGCTCAGTTTTTATGGGCGTCTCGCACTGAAGACTTGGAAGTAAACGCCCACTGTTGTGAGTGGATAACAGTTTTGCATATTATAATGAGTTTCAACTCACCTGTCGATGCACTTGGGGGAAATTGTTTTGAAAACGTCCAATGTTGTAAAATGGCAACCGGAATTATTCGCCCATACATGTTCGACCCAGAATCCATGTGTTGCACAATTGCCGTCAGATCCAGTATAGACGGCACAGCACCGTTCTTTACTCTTAATCGTCTGCAAATCCAGTCTTGTTTACAAAACAATCCTCAGTGAAATGAAGCGAACAGATGGACAATGTTTTACCTCATCAGCTGGAACGTCATTAAAAATAAAGTTTATCCATGCAGTCCTATTGGAAACCAGAGGAAGCTTATGCAGCGACTGTCTTCTTCCACAACCAGGCACTGCACAATATTTTGTATTGCTCGGTAGCTCGATCCAGTTTGTATGGAAGCTTGTTTCCGCCACTGAATAAAAAATATAATAAATAATTGTGACTTTTTATCTCACAATTCTGACTTTATTTCTCAGAATTGCGTGATATAAAGTCGCAATTGCGAGTTATAAAGTCAGAATTGTGTGATATAAAGTCAGAATTGCGAGATATAATGTCAGAATTGCGTGATATAAAGTCGCAATTCTGAGAAAAAAGACAGAAGTGTGACATTTTTTCTCAAAATTGCGAATTTACATCTCGCAATTCTGACTTTATAACACATAATTGCGAGTTTATATGTCGAAATTCTGACATCTTTTCTCAGAATTGTGAGATATAAACTCGCAATTGCGACTTATTAGGCCAATTCTAAGGGGAAAAAAGACTAACTTTTTTCCCCCTCAGAATAGTTTAAATCTCACAATTCTGACTTTATATCATGCATTTCTGACTTTATAACACGCAATTGCGACTTTATATCTAGCAATTCTGACTTTATAACTCGCAATTCTGACTTCATATCTCGCAATTCTGACTTTATATCTTGCAATTATGACTTTATAACTCGAAATTCTGACTTAATATCTCGCAATTCTGACTTTATATCACGCAATTCTGACTTTATATCTCCCACTTGCGACTTTATATCTCGCAATTCTGACTTTATATCTCGCAATTGCGACTTTATATCACGCAACTCTGACTTTATATCTTGCAATTTTGACTTTCCATCTTGCAATTCTGAGAAATAATGCCAGAATTGCGAGAAGTAAACTCACAATTGTGAGAAAAAAAGTCAGAATTGTGAGATAAAAAGTCGCAATTACCTTTTATATTTTTCATTCTATGGCGGAAACAAGCTTCCATAAGTTTGTCATCACGAGGTAGGCTTCTATGTTATTTACCTATGTGTGTAATGTGCGAATCGGTGGGCGGGGCTAAACCGGCCGTGTTGAAGTAGGCGTTGATCTTCTTCTGCGGGGGTGGGGTTTTATCCTCTATGACGTCATAGTTCCCCACTTTGAAAAACGCCTGGTGTCAATAAAAGCTTTTATTGGACTAACAAGGACGTTTTCAGTTCTGAAACGTACAGGATATTCTTATAATATGATGACCTCTTAGATGTCAAAAGCTCAAGGAAAATTTGATTTCTCAGTTCATCACCCCTTTAAAACATGTAAGCGATGTGCTAGCAACATGTTAAAACATGTTAGAAACATGCTAAAACATCCTTGCATGTTGTCTAACATAGTAGCGATTCATACATGCTCAGTCAATTTGCTCTCAAATGTTCATAGACTGTTCCAATATGGTGGACCGTTGAAACGGCTGCCAATAAGGAATCTATGTATCTATGGTTAAAACTAGCAAGCAACATACTAAGGAAATAGCTAAATGTAGCAATTTTTTTTAGCAACATGTTAAATAATGCTATCACTGTCTTAACAAAATTTGCAACATTCTTAAACGTGCTAAAAAATAAAACAAAAAAATGAGGCTCTCACAGTGTAACTGAATGGGGTCAATATTTTGGAGTTTTTAAAAGCTGAAATATGATGCGTATAATTTCATAAAAACATTTCATATCATTAGAACATATTAATATGGTGCTATTTTGGAAGTTGCAATCAAAGTGTGCTTTAAATGGGCACCATGCTTCTGAAAACCGGTCACCAGACCCCCCACACTGTCCTAAAATCTGCCACTAAATAATGTCTGCCCAATTATGATTGATTAAGTCTCACAGTAGTAGGACCATCTAAATCGAATTTAATGCAATCTAATCTAAGCTTTGATTTAATAAAATCGGATATTTGAAATTGACACACATTTACATTCCCGGTTGCCTGACCTAGATACATGACAAACTAATAATAAAGTTTAGGATGTTCCTTTTCATTTTCCCCTCTTAGATATATCAAGCCTAGGTTTTGTTCTTTCACATTGAATCAAAATTCTCTATGAAAAAGTGCTGTATGCATTATCATTTTCACATTTACTTTACATTGCCTGAAGAACATGTAAGACTTGCTTTAGTTCTGAGTTAATAAAGGCCTTCTGAAGTGATGCGTTTAAGAAAAATATCCATCTTTAAAACTTTATAAAGTAAAATAACCAGCTTCCGGCCAAAGGAACATATGGATTCCACTTAAGTCTAAAGCGCAACTTTTGCGAGTAATGCAAGGCCATGATGACACACTACCTCTGACGTCACAAGTACACAAGACTGTGTATGTGCATTTTGCCAGAAGTTAGAATTTTTACTTTGTATCGTGTTAAATGTGAATATTTTTTCTTGGCAGAGCCAGGACATTTTTTTTTAAATATAACTCTGATTGTATTCATCTGAAAGAAGATTATGCACCTAGGATGACTTGAGTGTGAGAAAATCACTAATTTTCATTTTTGGTTGAACTGTCCCTCTAAGCGTGTTGCTATGTGGTTGCTAGGGTGTTGTGAGTGGTTGATGTCCTGCTCTCGTCCCCAGACCATGGTGACCCCCCTGACGCAGAAGTACTTTGGCTTGGGTGAGCTGGGGAACAGTGTGATGTACAGCCTGTGTGGGCTGGAGGTAATCGCGGGTTTCTTCCTGGTGCGCTGGCTGAGCCGTGTGCTGGAGGACCGGGTGGTGCTGGCCGTGGGGCTGCTCATCTGCAGTGGGGCTTGTGTCTGGTGCCTCATCTTCCTGGCCAATCCACAGGGTGTGTGTGTGTGTGTGTGTGCCTGGCAGACATCCAGAGAAACTGGCATAAACCTGGGCATGGACAGACACAATATGCCTGCTCTGTTTGCTGCCAGTTCGATGATATGCATTATTAGTTTGGAACTGTTTTCTATCTATCTATCTATCTATCTATCTATCTATCTATCTATCTATCTATCTATCTATCTATCTATCTATCTATCTATCTATCTATCTACCTATCTACCTATCTATCTATCTATCTATCTATCTATCTATCTATCTACCTACTACCTACCTATCTATCTATCTATCTATCTATCTATCTATCTATCTATCTATCTATCTATCTATCTATCTATCTATCTATCTATCTATCTATCTATCTATCTACCTATCTACCTATCTACCTATCTATCTATCTATCTACCTATCTACCTATCTATCTATCTATCTATCTATCTATCTATCTATCTATCTATCTATCTATCTATCTATCTATCTGTCTGTCTGTCTGTCTGTCTGTCCAACCCGATCTCACGACCAAGTCGTACGAATTCGACGAATGATTAAAAAGTGGCTAATTCGTAACAATTCATACGACCTCACTCGTACGAATTAATACGATTTTGCTAAATCGTACATATTTTACGAATTGGCCAATTCGTATGAATTCGTACGAATGACCTACCCCTGACCCCGCCCCTAAACCTAACCATCACGTGGGTTTAAACAAATCGTACGAATTAGTACGAATTAGACACTTTTTAATCATGCGTCGAATTCGTACGAATTGGTCGTGAGATAGTGTTGGTCTGTCTGTCTGTCTGTCTATCTATATTTACCATCTATAATTTAACAGTCTATCTCTGTCTTTCTGTGTACCTGTCTGTCTATTCGCTCTTTCATTCTCGACGCATATGTCTTTTGATCAGGTGGTTTTGTGTTCGAGTTGATTGAGTTTATCATCGGAGTGTTCCTGCAGTTACTGGGACTTCCTTTCGTTGCTGTGTCTCAGGTGTCCCTCTTTTCTAAGGTCACAGCTGAGAAAACACAAGGTGAGAAACAAAGAGAATACAAAGAGAGACATAAGAAAAAGATAGACGAGATTTTGAGTAAACAAGTTACACTCACGCTTGTAGGTGTCACATTTTGTCACTGTTTAAATAGTCAAAACTACATGCTAATGGTGTGTTGTGTGTGTGCAGGCTTTAGTCAGGGTGTGCGACGTTCAGTCGGGGGTCTTGCCACCATCCTCGGCCCCCTGTGGGCAGGGGGTCTGATAGGAAATCTCTATGTGATGCTGGGTATGATGATGCTTCTACTGACCCTCATCATGGTGTGTACACAGATTCATAATGACTGATTCTGTAACATTATCAGATTTTTCTCTCAGTATGTCATAACACACATCATTTACCAGCTCAATTAAGTTTACATTTATTGCTTTGTGCAAACAGTGTCTATTATGGATCCAGTCAACTGAAAAAATCTCCATTGAATGGCGATTGTAGGTTCATTTTGGCCTTTTCCTTTCAGAGAGGTGATTTGGAAACATTTCATTAGATAGAGAACGCCTTCAAGTGAAACTGTATTTTGCCATCTCAAGTTACATTCTTAAATAATGTTGGTATGTTCAGAAAAGTAACATGACAGCTAACACTTCAAGAAGTTTATTTTTATTTAATTTAATGTTGAAACTTCCATTAATGCCCGTTTTGAATTATTATTATTTACTATAATAAAAATCATGGTAATTGGAAATGTAGGATCGTCCCCTTCTGACAAAGCTAAACACATATAAGAAAAAAAAATTAAAAAAGGAAAAATTATATTAACTTGGCGTATCCTTGCCACGAGTTTATTTGCAGATTGTTTAATAGTCCATTGTTTAAAAAAAAAAAAAAAATAGTTATGAGTGGTGACACAATCTGTAGTTCTGCAAAAATATGTAAAGAAGAAAATAATTCATAAAATCAATATATTTCCTGCTCAAAAGATTAATTATGTTAATAATTTCTATTATAACACATAACAATGTCTGGTGTCTGTCAACAAACAAAAGTTGGTGTCTGATAATCAATGTAAAGTCATTGTTTATTTAATGAGGGACAAATATTGTACCTTTTGTTTCGGCTCTCGGTGACTTATCCTGGTCAGATCATGATGGCGTTGTCCTACGAGAAGCTGGTGGAGCCGCCCAGGGTGGAGAATGCTCAGGACTCAGAGAATGGAGGATAGACACCACCTTTCGCTTTACAGGACACAGGTGAGACAGTGGACTAACCTTGTTCATTGGGGTTCATTGTTCAAGTGTGTCATTTTTGTTTCAGCAACATGACCGAATGAAACTGAAAAAATAATTGGTTGAAAAAGAACAGATAGTATATAATATGTATGTGTGTGTAAATCTCTCTCTCTCTACATATATATATATATATATATATATATATATATATATATATATATATAAAGGAGTTCAGATGCAAAAGCCTCTAAGTGCCATTTGAATTTTTCTTCTAGAATGATAATTTTTATCAAGCTTGTATATTTAAGTTCAGTAATTTCACTTAAATTGCAATGAGGATTACCTATTAATTGTCATTTAAGAGAAATTACTGAACTTAAATATATAAGCTTGACAAAAATGATCATTTTAGAAGAAAATTTCCAATGGCACTTAGAGCCTTTTGCATCTGAACTCTTCATAGTATATACAAAGTATATATATATATATATATATATATATATTTACACCATAAACAGAAATGCAAGGGGGTAAAAATAATTTCTTTCTTTCTCAAAACACTAAGTTTTGATTTCTAAGTGATCGATTTGTTTTCACACATAATCATTTGGATCATTGTCACATGAGTAGTTTGTTTTACAATAGCAAACTGAGTTTAAAGCAAGTAATGTGCTTGTAGTTTTGCAGACTGGGTCTAAATATTAAGCCCGTTCTCATCCCAAGGCGTCATATACTGACGCTTTTGAAATTTCGTCTAAATCCAACACACATGGCGCCCTTTAGCGTCAATATGAGACGCTGATATATATATGGGCCAGAAGGCGCCTTCTAGTGGTCTAACCCTAACCCTACCCCAGAACTAAACCCACCCACAACCAAACAAAGTTCTGTGCGTGTTATATTGATGCTAAAGTGTGCCATGTGTGTTGGATTTAGGCGAAATTTCGAAATATTACTGGTACATTCACTGAGTGAGCCTCAAGTTCCACTTTTAGTGTGTGAGCGATTTTAAAAAACTGTAAGGGGTTGGGGGATCACCCTGACTACTGTTTATGCTAAAGTGTACTTCATTTTTTTTTTTTCACATGGGAAAATGTATTTTAACATTGACGTTTCACATTTCATGACGATACAAAATTATTGATTACACATTTTATTTTTAAAGACAAAAAAAAAAAGCATTGTGCTTATTTGCTTTTTCAATCTGGATGGCATATTATGACAGGCTGAAATTCTACTCGTAACTTTTTTATTGTGTCTTCACTAACCAAGTTAAACTGATAGACTCCAGCCATGCAGCTCTAAACTTCAATATAGACACATCTCAGAACTGAAAGTGAAAAGTAAAAAAGTGGGCCACTGAATAACAAAACTGCTATAATCCGCTTGCGACAAGCAACATTATTACACAAAATCACACTCTCTGCTGTATGACAAAAAGCTGTCATTGGTAATTCATAAATGAATCTCTCTGTGTGATTTTCATATTTCAGCACAGAGCAAGAGCCCCTCTCTCTGTGGTGTGTCTGCCAAAGTTTAGCGCTCGTGTGGGCCTGTACAGAGCAGATGCTGGAACAGTGGGAGATAAGAGGCCTTGCCAGGGCTAGCAGACCGAGAACAGCAAGAAGGGCACACAAACACACATCACGCACCCACCCACACACAACACACACAATTTGGTTTTATGCTGCAGATTTTTATATTCTGTAATTTTTATTTTATTCTAGTCCTCATCCATTCGGTTTCATTTTACATAGTGTATTTAGTTACTGACTCTTTTATTGTGCATATGTTGTATGATTTGAGGATCTTCTGATTTGCTGATGTGGAGGAGTATGAATACATGAAGTGAATGAACACTTGATGGCGCTGTTGTCCCTTAAAGAGTTTGGACAGACAGAACTGCAAGACTCTCTATGCATGATAATGTGTGTGTATGTGTGTGTGTGAGAGAGAGAGAGCAGGATGATAAAGGGACAAAAACTACGTTCCTGCACAGATCATTGGTCATTTCTAGGATATTTACTCATCTTAAGAGGGAAATGGAATATTAATGTGTCATCTGGTGCATATGATCTGCTGTTTGTACATTGTTTTGAAATATTATTACTGTAAACTCATTAAAATCTGGGTTAATCAAGTATAGAAGCTTTAAAGGAATGAATCATTCTGTCATTCAATAGTTCTGCTTTTGCTGTGGTGTTCCTTATATTGGTGGTGGTGTCCTGTTTTTTTTTCTACACGTATTATAAATATACATGATCACTGATGTTTTATTTATTTACGGTAAATATTTCATTACGATTTTGGATTGTGGATATGACCTTTTTTTTACAGAGTTCAGAAATGTATTCCATCTGTAATTTAGCGGGGTGAACGTATAAAAAAAAGTCTCCCTCAGTGGACATTATTTATTATAGCTATAATTATACTTTGTGTTGTAATACAGTGGCGTTAATCTAGTAATCAAGACAATGCTGAAGGTGTTTTTATTATTTAAAAGGACAGTTTACCCCGAAATGAAAATTCTGTCATCATTCACTCATCCTCATGCTTTCAAACCTGTACGCAACACACAAAAAAAGATCTATTTTTGAAGTTTCAGTTCTTGTCAATATAAGTCAATGGGGACCAAAATGGTTTGGTTACCAACATTCTTCAAAATAGATATTTTTGGCATGTTACCCAGAAGAAAGAAACGCATCCAGGTTTGGAATGACATGAGGGTGAGTGAATGATGTCAGAGTTTTCATTTTGGGGTTTACTAGCCCTTTAATACAATATAACGATAACATTTGAACCCGGCAAGATGAGAAAAAAGTCCATTCCAATCAATGTATTGCAGAGCGTCAGAGAATTAGCATTTAACCGTTCACCTCTCAATCCAGATGATCTCATAATCCCGCAGTAGCTCTGTGTGAAAGAAGATTATAATCCCAATCCCTCATACGCGTTCACATCTGTAGCGGTGATAAGCAGGGAGACACAGAACGATTGGGACACTGTCATCAATCTGTCAGGCATCATTCTGATAGACGCCCAGCTCTGTTGGGAAAATGTATCTTCTGATAGCTTTACCGTTTGTAAATTGTTTATTAGCGACTGTCCATCACAATACCGGTCTCGCCATCTAGAAAGCATCATATTTTGATGTTAATGAGACACATTCCTTGGACATCAGAACAAAATGACATAAACGACAGAGGAAAAACAAGCGCTTTTTTTTTTTTTTTTTTTTAGTAAATTAATGCCAGCTTTTATCCAAGAGATGTTCGGCATCAGAATAATGGGTTGCCCAGTGGGTTGGCATTTGCGTTCAAGAGGCTTACGTGCCCATCTCGGCACAGCTTCTCCCTCTTCATTTGAAAATGTCATTTGGATCCAGCAGGTTGTGGCCACGGCAACATCAGAGAATAACATTTCTCAAATCCTATTTGACAAAATATGTGTCAGACGTCATAAGCAGCTCGGGATTAAACATGTCGGCCAAACGTGTTTAGCGTAACGCGGAGGGTAATCCGAAACCCAGAGCTAACAGAACTGGAGACTGGAGAGAAGAGTTGCTGTCAAAACCTAAGACAAGAGAAAAGACACATTCATAATATATTGTGAATGTTATATGAAAACTGGTTTGTGGACGAGGAGGAAAATCAGGTTTAAGATAAATTATATTAAGTAATTAGGTTATGATTGGTTTATGAAGCACATTTGGAGCAATTATCCGAAATGAAATCACGTTTATGCAGTGGGTGGTGGAGCAATTAGCCGTGTGCTAGGCTGCTAGCGCTGCGCTACGGTACATAAATGTAATGGCAAACACTCATAAATCCCCTTCCAATCCAAGACTATAGCCTCCCCTCTCATATCAAAAAAACCAAAACACAAAGACTGTGAAAATTAATAGTTCACTCTTACACTCTGAGACGCAACCTTTATTTTTGCGTCTCAAAAGCGCAAACATGTGAATGCTAATCATGCTAGCTGTGCATGAAAATGTAAGAACAACAACAGACAAACATAGCTATTTTAGCTTTGACCAGTTTTGGCTGGCTTGAGAACCAGCATGAAATGAACACCAGTGTTTCACAGTCATGTTCTGTTTGCTTTCATTTTCCCAAGATCTCGTTCATTGTTTGTTACCATGGCTTCTGATTGATTTTCGCACCCGGTTTCTTGTTCTGTTGATTATATCATCTCTGTGCTGTCCCTCAGTTCTCTTTGTTCTTTGTCATCAATGTTATGTTAAAGTGTAGCCTATGTTTCCTTGTACTGTCTTATACAGTAGGCTATCACACAGAGATTCATGAGAACCGGTGGCACTTTCCAGCATAAGTTTTCTTGAATTCAGATTAAAGTTTCGGTAACACTTTACAATACGGGTGCACTAATAAGCATTAATTCATGCTTAACTAATGCACAGATAATACTGAATTAATGTGTAACTAATGATTATTTAAGCTATTCATTAATGATTACCACATTAGGAACTAATTTAGAGTATGTAAGGTTAATGTATTAGTTATGAATTGTTATTAATTAAATATGTAAACGTGGATTAATTCCATAATAACTCATTTTTAACTAATAGTGTCAATTGATATGTTAATTACCAGAATGAGCCAAAGCCTATTTCAACTTCCAGATTATGACAAGTACACTATTATGCATTGATATATGATTAATTACTCCATTGTTAGTGCAAATTCATATGCAAATTGCTACAATTACTAAATGACTATAGTTAATAATGATGTGCCCCAACAAGTAAAGTCATAACATAATGATACCTTTGCAAATCATTAGCTAATGATTAATTAAAGCAGACAACTGGAAGTTGAAGTGCATAGCTTTGACTAATTGAGGTAATTAACACATTAATTTACACTATTAGTTATAAAATATGTTATTAAGGAATTAATACACAATGGCACGTTGAATTAATAGAAATTCATGTATTGCTTAATCTATTAATCATATAGACTCTTTATTAGTTGCTGATGCAGTAATCATTAATTAATGGTTTAGTTCTTCATGAGTTATACATTAACTCATGATTATCTGTGCATTAGTTAAGCATGAATTAATGCATATTAGTGCACCCGTATTGTAAAGTGTTACCAAAGTTTCTTACTTGAAACTCTTTAAAAAATGAAACATATTCTGCTAAATCATGTCCAGTTAAATGAGGTGCTTACCTTTAGAAAATGCCCGCTTGCATTTTATATGAAAGTTTAAAGTCCCCCTGTGGTGAAGGTTTTAATCTTGTTTATATGCATATGTGGTGTTTTTAAATTGCTTTAAGACAAACCATATGTAAATTCATATGTCAACACCATTGCGGAGTATTTTCTCCTTAAAACTGCAGTGAACCAAAGACAGTATCAAACACAGTCTCAAAAACGCATTTTGATATCACAGGTGTTTCTGACGTCACAAAATACCTTTATATATATAAAACGGAATGATAACAGTTTCTAGGGTTTACAAAGAATGGCGTGAAAAGGGAAAAACATCCAGTATGCGGCAGTCCTGTGGGCAAAAATGCCTTGTTGATGCTAGAGGTCAGAGGAGAATGGGCCGACTGATTCAAGCTGATAGAAGAGCAACTTTGACTGAAATAACCACTCGTTACAACCGAGGTATGCAGCAAAGCATTTGTGAAGCCACAACACGCACAACCTTGAGGCGGATGGGCCACAAAAGCAGAAGACCCCACCGGGTACCACTCATCTCCACTACAAATAGGAAAAAGAGGCTACAATTTGCAAGAGCTCACCAAAATTGGACAGTTGAAGACTGGAAAAAATGTTGCTTGGTCTGATGAGTCTCGATTTCTGTTGAGACATGCAGATGGTAGAGTCAGAATTTGGCTTAAATAGAATGAGAACATGGATCCATCATGCCTTGTTACCACTGTGCAGGCTGCTGGTGGTGGTGTAGTGAATGGTGTGGGGGATGATTTATTGGCACACTTTAGGCTCCTTAGTGCCAATTGGGCATCGTTTACATGCCATGGCCTACCTGAGCATTGTTTCTGACCATGTCCATCCCTTTATGGACACCATGTACTCATCCTCTGATGGCTACTTCCAGCAGGATAATGCTCAAATTGTTTTTCTTGAACATGAAAATGAGTTGACTGTACTAAAATGGCCCCCACAGTCACCAGAGCTCAACCCAATAGAGCATCTTTGGGATGTGGTGGAACGGGAGCTCCATGTCTTGGATGTGCATCCCACAAATCTCCATCAACTGCAACTGCAACTATCAATATGGGCCAACATTTCTAAAAGAATACTTTCAGCACCTTGTTGAATTAATGTCACGTAGAATTAAAGCAATTCTGAAGTCGAAAGGAGGTCAAACAGATTAGGTTTTCATAATAATCCCGTGACCATGTACAGTCACTATACCTGGGTGCTTTATACAGGACACCAATGTTTACATTAAAAAGTGTTAAGTTATTAAGTAGTACCTTATTAAATACTATATTATCTGAAAATACAATTTTATAAAATGTACTTTTATGATTTGAGGTATACTACAAGTGCACATTCAATTAAATGAAGTGCACTTCTTTTTCACACCCAATACAAGGCCTTAAACCTCACACTTATATTTGAAAGATGATTTTCACTGATCATTTAAAAGAGTTGTCTTTGCTGTTCTAGGGTATTTTGAAAGCAGCCTCAAATAAATGTCCAGCTTCAAAAGTTATACATGTCATTGTAAAATAATAATTAACAAACACCACTAATAAATGTGTTTGCATGAGGAATATAATGTACCTCCTTATCTGCGCTCTCTTGCCTCTCTGATGGATGAGTCAGCCGGAGTGAAAACCAAATTTTTTTTGCCTAAATTGTCATCAGCATTGTTTTTCTTACAGATTAGCATGATTGGTTTCCGTGGGAAGTCAGATGGACGTTCCTGAGCAGTGCTTTTCACAGTGAACCTCTTGATTGCATTAGAAGTGCATGGAAACTTATTACAAATTGATAAGGACTTCATGGGAGGTCAACAAGAGATCGATGACTAATTGTGTTATGGCCTCTTTTTGAAGGGCACATAACCCGCACATACACTCACAGAGGATGGCTCGAAAAATTTAAAAAATGAGATCTGTCCTTCATGAGATC